TTACAGGCTGCTATAGTTAGAGGAGTGGAGGGAAATCAGCTATCCACCATCACTGCTGGAAGTGCTGGTGCAACAATTTTGGTTTTAAGTGTAATATTCGTCAGTAACTGCAGCTTGCTTAGACTAGTTTAGCCCCAAGGGGAAATAACCAGTCCAAGTAGCTTTTTTCTGTACGAGACGTATGGTGAAACTGCAGTAGAGTGAAACTTGTTACCTTTGCATGACATGCATTCAATTCCCAAATTTTATCTCATAAGTGAAGGAATACAATGAGGACATATGGTTTTGGAGATGATCATTGATGTGGCAGCAAGATACTTCAAACTATTTCACTACTAATTCAGGACATTCTTGAATTATTGATACGATCGTTTTCCATTTTTACTCTTATATGTGCTGAATATCAATGGACCTCGGTTTTTGCTGGTGTAATTTCATATGAACATTCAAATAAAACATGAAGCGGAAAACCAGGACCAAACGAATACCAGGAACAAAACGCAAAACCCATTTAAGGGGACCAGTAAACATAGTAGTAGAAATTATTGAATTACTGTAAACTTAAATGCAATTTTGAGGTACTGGTAAGTTTCCATTTTTATGTCCACTCGTGTTAGGCCCTACGTCTCCTCCATTGACATCAGAGGTAAACACTTCTGCTTTTTAGTCCCTGATGACTAAAAAAAAAACTAACAATATTGAAAATCAGGATGACAATTATCATGGATAGATTGTTAACATACATGAAGCATAATGGATCTGGGAGGACGTCAAATAACTTCAGGTGCCGCCAAACTGAGTCAACATGAGCCACAAAGAGGTTACAATCTCTTAGGCTTATATTATATAAATTAGAGAAAAGTGCAGAAGATGAATTCACTCTGTGGCAGAGAATGATACTTTCCCAAGACTAATCATTTCATAACCCCCCAGATTTTATCTTGTCACAGCCCTGGTTAGGACCACTGGACTAAATTAGGCCTACTATAACTGGTATATGAAGTAGTTAAAACTACATCCGACCTCAACCAAAGCTACAAACAGTAATGCTATAATACTCAAGTCCTTGATCACCCAGGCCAATTTTTGTTTCTACTGCAGAAGCCTAGAGTACTTTTACTTTTGATTGGCTTAACTTTAAGTAAATATGCAACAATCTGTGGTTTTCCCCAAAAGAATATTACATGAACACAGGTATATGGGCGAGTGTTTTAAAATGCAGTGCGTTCGGCTACTTTTACCAACAATGCGTTCTTCCAGCGCAGGGGGTGACACACTGTAAAGTCAATCATAGTGTATTACATTCAATCACAATTAAATTCAAAAGCTTGAGAGCTCGACCACGTCGTTGCGCTTTTTTCTGTATGTGAAGGGAGACAAGAGTAGGCCTCTCATTGGTCCAACATCGACGTGTCCCCGCCTCGCACGCATTAGCGGCCATCTGGGATTGGCTTGTGGAAGCTCGAGCAGTGGCTGATGGCTGTACTAATGAAATATTCATGACACCGGTCCTGCTCGGTGGGGCCTCACCCTTCGTGTTCTTCTCTGCCTGGGCTCACTTTTGGTAAGCAGAATGGTATGTGGGTGATGCAATGCAGTTCATCTCTTTCACCGGAAGACAACACATAGTAACAGATTTACAGACAGCACAATTGCGCTGTTAGTGAATATCTTGAGATGGGACAGTATGGAACGAGGTGTACCTGGCCAGCTGTTGTGGCGTAATTACGCGCGGTAAGGCATTGGGGGTTATTTCATCTTAAAATTGATAGGACGAGGTGTGGATTTGGATCTTTCTGTTTTTGGAAGTTGCGTCTATCCTAACTGCCAAATTTGAAAGCCAGCTCCCCTTCAGAAAAATGTGCCAAACCTCTCTGCTCAGCTGGATGCTGAGCTACTCTCAGGTCATAAAGGGGTCCGGTTACAACTGCAGTGGGAGAACCTGACAAGACGATGTGTGTGGGATCCGCCTTTAAAGATTTGCGAAAACCGCAAGGCAGTCTCTATATAAAGGCGCACCTGCTACCCACAGAATTAGAAACAACGAAGAAAGGGCGCAACACTCATCAAGAGGGAAAACTAGAACTCGTGCTCCAACTAACCTACCGGCCACGAGCTTCGCCATGATTTTAACCAAGTTAAGCCGAATCTACCCTCGTGCTCGCGAGCTATACAGAACAAGCATGCGCTTCCTTTAAGCCGATCAGGCCCAGAATGTAAAGGCTAGGACACTGCGAGGAGAGTAAACCAAGACAAGAGAGCTCGGAAATCTTCGCATGTTCACATCTGCTTCCTGGATGAAGGGAAAATGAAAAAGAGAGAGAGCGCGCGTCTAAGATGATGAATGCAAGCTGGCAGAGAAACCCGGTCAACAGAAAAACTCCCTCTTCAATGCCATGAACGCGTTTATCGATGCGCCGAGTGAACAACATGGATCTCTAGACCATCATGGCTGACCAGCCATGCTGCGGGACGTCCGCTGGAGATGAATGGCAGGGAGTGTGAGCTCCCTGAAGTCCGGACATGGACGAGGGGGGACCATGTACAGGCTATTATCAGCTGCCCAAGTTCCATCCGCAGGGCATCGAGTGGGGGGTCCCGCTTTGCGCACGCAGCCGCATGGAGAAGGCGCAAGGGAGAGCATGAAGATCACCCCGCATGAAATCTCATCCGCATTCGCCACTTCCGTCTCCGCATGCGCATCATCATCCTCATCCTCATCATCATCTTCCGTATGACGACGAGAAGAGGAGAGGATTTGGAGAAGCAGTTCCACGTACCATCTGACCGTGGCTGCAAGGGGTGCCTGTCCAAGCTGACAACAGCAGGCCAACTGTCTCAACCAGCGACTACAGAACAGGAGATTGGCAATCGGAAGATGGGGCCAGTAGGTCGCTGCCCACGGAAACCTGAAATGCCAGATTATTCTTTTTTTTTTCCACTGGACTGGCTAAAGCAACTGACCTGTCAATAGGCCTCATTGCTGCTGCTGTGACTACCTGATGAAATTCTGAACAAAAATATTTGGAATGGTGAGAAAAGGCAGCTTGTTTCTGTCTATAGGCCTACATGGTGATTGTTGGTCTTACTCTGTGGTTATTGACTGTAGATGTGTTGATCTTGAAGAAAAGCATTTTGTTTGTATCATTAACACCAAACCCATATATTTTGCTACTCACAGAGTGTTGTACACATCATGGCATTCCAGTGTCCGTGTGATGCGCAGATGAAACATAATTTAAAACACGATTATTTTAATGTATAATTTTATACATTCCACAGACTATAACATGCCTATATGCTATGTTTTGAGAGCCAAATGTTT